AATGCACAAGATTCAAGGAGAACTTAGATTATATATTATCTTCCTTGACTCCAGGCATAGTTTTCTTAGGCAAACATTTTACAATACCTTGAATAAAATGAGCGAAACCATACTAGCTGTATGGAAGAACTAGCTAATGAACCTGTAGTAGTTGTAGTAGTAGTGGTAGTGGTAGTAGTAGTAGTAGTAGTAGTAGTAGTAGTAGTAGTGGTGGTAGTAGTAATGTGGTAGTAGTAGTAGTGGTGGTAGTAGTAGCAGTAGTAGTGATAGTAGTAGTAGTAGTAGTAGTAGCAGTAGTAGTAGTAGTAGTAGTAGTAGTAGTAGTAGTAGTAGTAGTAGCAGTAGTAGTGATAGTAGTAGTAGTAGCAGCAGTAGTAGCAGTAGTAGTAGTAGTAGTAGTACTAGTGGTAGTAGTAGTAGTAGTAGTAGTAGTAGTGGTGGTGGTAGTAGCAGTAGTAGTAGTAGTAGTAGTGGTAGTAGTCGTAGTAGTAGTAGTAGTAGTAGGAGAAGGGAATTTGATTCATCACCACAAGCATCTTTATACAAAGTACAGAGACAGACATTGATCCTGTTCCTGTTTCCTGCGTAGCTGCAAGATGGCCCAGACCAATGGCTGGGGAGTGATGGTCAGCCATCGCTCTGGAGAGACAGAGGACACCTTCATCGCTGACCTGGTCGTTGGTCTCTGCACTGGACAGGTAGGATACACCTCTTTTAAGATCAATACATAGATATTACTACTGGTGTGGCCTGGAAACACTGGAAACCACAGCGTTGTTGGCTCAAACCTCTGCAGACAGACATTTGTTTTGTCCTTTAGTGATATTCTATTACATGTTATTACATTCAATACAACTGCAAGCCCCCTCACCAAAGTTTTTCAGCTTCAGTTTTCCTCAGTTTTGCCCTTAGCTGCAGTATACTGATAGCTGATATACTGTGGTATGCTGTGTTCCAGTGAACTTAAATAACTGATACGCTGTGTTCCAGTGAACTTAAATAACTGATATGCTGTGTTCCAGTGAACTTAAATAACTGATATGCTGTGTTCCAGTGAATTAAATAACTGATATGCTGTGTTCCAGTGAACTTAAATAACTGATATGCTGTGTTCCAGTGAACTTAAATAACTGATACGCTGTGTTCCAGTGAACTTAAATAACTGATATGCTGTGTTCCAGTGAACTTAAATAACTGATATGCTGTGTTCCAGTGAACTTAAATAACTGATATGCTGTGTTCCAGTGAACTTAAATAACTGATATGCTGTGTTCCAGTGAACTTAAATAACTGATACGCTGTGTTCCAGTAAACTTAAATAACTGATATGCTGTGTTCCAGTGAACTTAAATAACTGATATGCTGTGTTCCAGTGAACTTAAATAACTGATATGCTGTGTTCCAGTTAACTTAAATAACTGATATGCTGTGTTCCAGTGAACTTAAATAACTGATACGCTGTGTTCCAGTGAACTTAAATAACTGATATGCTGTGTTCCAGTGAACTTAAATAACTGATATGCTGTGTTCCAGTGAACTTAAATAACTGATACGCTGTGTTCCAGTGAACTTAAATAACTGATATGCTGTGTTCCAGTGAACTTAAATAACTGATATGCTGTGTTCCAGTGAACTTAAATAACTGATACGCTGTGTTCCAGTGAACTTAAATAACTGATATGCTGTGTTCCAGTGAACTTAAATAACTGATACGCTGTGTTCCAGTGAATTAAATAACTGATACGCTGTGTTCCAGTGAACTTAAATAACTGATATGCTGTGTTCCAGTGAACTTAAATAACTGATATGCTGTGTTCCAGTGAATTAAATAACTGATACGCTGTGTTCCAGTGAACTTAAATAACTGATACGCTGTGTTCCAGTGAATTAAATAACTGATACGCTGTGTTCCAGTGAACTTAAATAACTGATATGCTGTGTTCCAGTGAACTTAAATAACTGATATGCTGTGTTCCAGTTAACTTAAATAACTGATACGCTGTGTTCCAGTGAACTTAAATAACTGATACGCTGTGTTCCAGTTAACTTAAATAACTGATATGCTGTGTTCCAGTGAACTTAAATAACTGATATGCTGTGTTCCAGTTAACTTAAATAACTGATACGCTGTGTTCCAGTGAACTTAAATAACTGATACGCTGTGTTCCAGTGAACTTAAATAACTGATATGCTGTGTTCCAGTGAACTTAAATAACTGATATGCTGTGTTCCAGTGAACTTAAATAACTGATATGCTGTGTTCCAGTTAACTTAAATAACTGATATGCTGTGTTCCAGTGAACTTAAATAACTGATACGCTGTGTTCCAGTGAACTTAAATAACTGATACGCTGTGTTCCAGTGAACTTAAATAACTGATATGCTGTGTTCCAGTGAACTTAAATAACTGATACGCTGTGTTCCAGTGAACTTAAATAACTGATACGCTGTGTTCCAGTGAACTTAAATAACTGATATGCTGTGTTCCCTTCTCCAGATCAAGACCGGTGCCCCATGCAGGTCTGAGCGTCTAGCTAAGTACAACCAGCTGCTCAGGTGAGCTCCGTCTTTAAACTCTTAACTCAGCTGTATAAAATGCGTTCACTAGTAAAACTACCATGTCATATGTTCTTCATTGGATATATCATTTGACTTAAAAGAGCTAGGCTTGGCCCAAATATCACTCATCTAAATGTACAATTATCAAGGATAATAGTAGGCTGTTTCGTTACTCTTGTTTTTGCCGTTATAATGGTTTCAAGTGTTGAAGCCTTAAACTGATTGTTTCACTTCCTTCCTGTCCGTAGGATTGAGGAGGAGCTTGGAGACAAGGCTGTCTTCGCTGGCCAGAACTTCAGGCACCCAATCTAAGGAGGTCCTCTATTCTTGGGCCTTCTTGATAACCCCCCCCCCCACACACACATACACACATATATAAAAGCCACGCTAGGTCACTCGCCCTGCCCTGTCCAGAGGGAGGAAGATGGAACGGCATTGCAATGAAACCCAAGGTCCAAGTATGTCCAAGCTGTGGAAACCCTGATCTAACTCCTGACTACAGTACACCAACCCATCCGCTATGATTTGGCTCCTTAATAGTGTTGGTCCTGTTGTTTGTGTCAGTGTTAACATTGTCGTGTGAAGACGAGATCTTTTTTTAGTTTTCGCCTCTTGTGAGTGTTGTGTAGTGATTCTTGGTTGTCTCCTATGAGTGTTATTATTCTAGTGGAGCGCTACTGTTAAGTTTAGCACTGTGCTGTTATTGGGCAGGACAGACAGAGTACTGTTGTATGTGCAATGTGTCGCCTCTGATGAGAAGTTTCTAGTGTTCCTACTGTAAGCGTTGGCAGAATTACAAGAAATAAACAATCTCCTTTGAAACCGGAACAAGAGATGTCATTCTGTGTCCCTGTGTGCTTTCTTGTCACAAGAAAATGTGTAAAACTATTTTATACTGGCAATTAATTACATTTCACTATAGCCATCTACCCATGTTTTATTATCCTCGTAATTACCGGACTGATTACCGCTGTAGAAAAAAACAGAATTTAATGACTTCTGGATGGTTGTACAAGGTTAATGTTTTCCTTTTGCAATGATTATTGACAAACTTTAGTGACATCTCATGGATGGGATGAGGACTTTGGACCTATATGAACTCCAGGGATAGGCTTGTTCATAACCGGCTGTTATCTGCAGGCCCTAGCGGGATCTATGTTGTGATGTAATTGGAACTGCCAGTGAGAGGCAGTAACATGAGCCGGTGCTGAGAGGGACAGGGGACGCCATTTCTGGACGTAAAATGATCCAGCAGGGCAGAGATGCCTCCCTTGAAGGGCCTGTGAGTTCCAGATGTGGGTTCAACTGCTATTTGAAATTTCAAATAGTTTATATGTGCTTGATTGAGCTTGCCTGGTACAATGGAACCAATGGAACAGTGCCAAAAAGTGCCAACCCCTCCCATCTGGCCCTCCAAACAGGTTAAAGCAAACGCTCAAAACTATTTGAACCCAGCTGTGACATTTTATGCTGTAGGCTTACTGAGCCTTGCCAAGATGGATGTTCAATCAGCAGCGTTACAGTACATGGCTGCTGGCCAAGCTGAATCAGCCATTGAGGTTGGCGGTTCATTCCTTTGGGGAACTTTATGGAACTGCCTGTCACCATTGTTTAGCTGTCTACAGTTCATTATCCTTCTAGGTTATTGGTATAACACAAAAAGCACACACAGTCAACACGAGAATTCTGTATTTTAGAAACTGCAGACATTCAGCAATAGATGCTATTCAACTGTATTATTAAGCATGTAATGCAATGTTGTGAAAATACATCAAGTATACTGTACATGTCTACCATACAGATACTACTACCACATGTCTCATACTTCTAGTATATATGTCTCATACTTCTAGTATATATGTCTCATACTTCTAGTATATATGTCTCATACTTCTAGTATATGTGTCTCATACTTCCAGTATATACACGACCTGTCAAACGTTTTAGAACACCTACTCATTCAAGGGTTTTTCTTTATTTTTACTATTTTCTACAATGTAGAATAATAGTGAAGACATCAAAACTATGAAATAACATATATGGAATCATGTAGTAACCAAAAAAAGTGTTAAACAAATCAAAATATATTTTATATTTGAGATTCTTCAAATGGCCAGCCTTTGCCTTGATGACAGCTTTGCACACTCTTGGCATTCGCTCAACCAGCTTCACCTGGAATGCTTTTCTAACAGTCTTGAAGGAGTTCGCACATATGCTGAGCACTTGTTGGCTGCTTTTCCTTCACTCTGCGGTCCGACTCATCCCAAACCATCTAAATGTGGTTGAGGTCGGGTGATTGTGGAGGCCAGGTCATGTGATCCAGTGCTCCATCACTCTCCTTCTTGGCAAAATAGCCCTTACTCAGCCTGGAGGTGTGTTGGGTCATTGTCCTGTTGAAAAACAAATGATAGTCCCACTAAGCCCAAACCAGATGGGATGGCGTATCGCTGCAGAATGCTGTGGTAGCCATAAGTGTGCCTTGAATTCTAAATAAATCACAGACAGTGTCACCAGCAAAGCACCCCCACACCATAACACCTCCTCCTCCATGCTTTACGGTGGGAAATACACATGCAGAGATCATCCGTTCATCCACACCACGTCTCACAAAGACACAGCGGTTGGAACCAAAAATCTCACATTTGGACTCCAGACCAAAGGACACATTTCCACCAGTCTAATGTCCATTGCTCGTGATTCTTGGCCCAAGCAGGTCTCTTCTTCTTATTGGTGTCCTTTAGTAGTGGTTTCTTTGCAATAATTTGACCATGAAGGCCTGATTCACACAGTCTCCTCTGAACAGTTGATGTTGAGATGTGTCTGTTACTTGAACTTTGTGAAGCATTTATTTGGGCTGCAATTTCTGAGGCTGGTAACTCTAATGAACGTATCATCTGCAGCAGAGGTAACTCTGGGTCTTCCATTTCTGTGGTGGTCCTCATGAGAGCCAGTTTCATCATAGCGCTTGATGGTTTTAGCGACTGCACTTGAAGAAACTTTCAAAGTTCTTGACATTTTCCGGATTTACATTTATGTTAATGTTTTGATGTCTTCACTATTATTATACAATGTAGAAAATAGTAAAAATAAAGAAAAACCCTTGAATGAGTAGGTGTTCTAAAACTTTTGACCGGTAGTGTATGTCTCATAGTGAATTACTGCAATCAACTACATTTCTGTAAGGAAATGGGTCTTACTGATGATGTCTTTTGCCAGACTGATTTGAAAAAGGTGGAATTTGGAATGATCTTGGTCGTAGCCCTGACCAAGCCCTGACCAAGCTCTGACCAATTTCTGACCAAGCCCTGACCAAGCTCTGACCAATTTCTGACCAAGCCCTGACCAAGCACTGACCAAGCACTGACCAAGCCCTGACCAACTCCTGCCTTGTTAAGAGTTCTGCACTTCCAGCTCTTTTCTTTGGATCATACTCCACCTGGTGGTTACTGCTGTGAACCACGACTATGTTCCTACTAGTGATTCACATCAGATGTAATGCTAGAGGTATCTATTTTTCCTCCATTGCATGTGTAGTGTTTCCAACTTGACCGTTATAAAGTACACTACATCACCAACAGTATGTGGACACCCCTTCAAATTAGTGGATTCGGCTATTTCAGCCACACCCGTTGCTGACAGGTGTATAACATTGAGTGATCAGACACGTGCACGCTCAAACACACAGGAGTCGTTCAAATGGCCTCAAGCTTCTAACAATTTGATATGACATACACTACATGACCAGAAGTATGTGGATACCTGCTTGTCGAATATCTCATTCCAAAATCATGGGCATTAATATGGAGTTGGTCCCCCCCTTTGCTGCTATAACAGCCTCCACTCTTCTGGGAAGGCTTTCCACTAGATGTCGGAACATTGCTGCAGGGACTTGCTTCCATTCAGCCACAAGAGCATTAGTGAGGTCGGGCACTGATGTTGGGAGATTAGGCCTGGCTCGTAGTCGGCATTCCAATTCATCCCAAAGGTATTCGATGGGGTTGAGGTCAGGGATCTTTGCAGGCCAGTCAAGTTCTTCCACACCGATCTCAACAAACCATTTCTGTATGCTTTGTGCACGGGGGCATTGTCATGCTGAAACAGGAAAGTGCCTTCCCCAAACTGTTGCCACAAAGTTGAAAGCACAGAATTGTCTAGAATGTCATTGTATGCTGTAGCGTTAAGATTTCCTTTCACTGGAACTAAGGGGCCTAGCCCGAACCATGAAAAACAGCCCCAGACCATTATTCCTCCTCCACCAAACTTTACAGTTGGCACTATGCATTGGGACAGGTAGCGTTCTCCTTGCATCCGCCAAACCCAGATTCGTCCGTCGGATTGCCAGATGGTGAAGTGTGATTCATCACTCCAGAGAATGCGTTTCCACTGCTCGAGAGTCCAATGGCGGCGAGCTTTAAACCACTCCAGCCAACGCTTGGTATTGCGCATGGTGATCTTAGGTTTGTGTGCGGCTGCTCGGCCATGGAAACCCATTTCATGAAGCTCCCAACAAACAGTTATTGTGCTGATGTTGCTTCCAGAGGCAGTTTTGAGGCAGTTTGGACCTTGGTAGTGAGTGTTGAAACCGAGGACAGACGATTTTTACACGCTTTGCGTTTCAGCACTCGGCGGTCCCGTTCTGTGAGTTTGTGTGACCTACCACTTTGCGGCTGAGCCGTTGTTGCTCCTAGACGTTTCCACTTCACAATAACAGCACTTAGAGTTGACCAGGGCAGCTCAAGCAGGGCAGAAATTTGACGAACTGACTTGTTGGAAAGGTGGCATCCTATGACGGTGCCACGTTGAAAGTCACTGAGCTCTTCAGTAAGGCCATTCTACTGTCAATGTTTGTCTATGGAGATTGCATAGCTGTGTGCTCGATTTTATACACCTGTCAGCAACGGGTGTGGCTGAAATAGCTGAATCCACTAATTTGAAGGGGTGTCCACATACTTTTGTATATATAGTGTATGTCCAAATCAAATTGAGAGTTTGTTCGGTTCTACAAAATGTGTCATATTTTGTGGACATACCAGTGGACAGACAGTGGGCCTAACATACATTGTTCTGGGTTGCCGAGAACATAGAAATAGGATCTGATTCTATTATGGCCCGATTCTATTCCTATGGCCGAGATTACAAAAGTTGTAGTGGCGATTAAAACGCCACAGAAACTATGGCTTTCGCTTTCCACTAGATCTTGGGTTGGGTGATACCCATTTATTGTACTAGATATAAAATATAAACAACATACAGCTAGCTACCTTGCATACAAATGGGTTTACTGTCTTGATATATGGGCTTTAAAAAAGCAC